GGATCACTGTGAGTCAGAACCTCAACAGCACCTAGTATAACTAGTGACTAGGTCTCTACAATTGTATCCCTTAAGTGACGTGAAGTAATACTTTGTAATATATTATGTTATGCTCTGACCCCTCTGGGACGTGTTATGCTATTTTTCCTTTAGAAATTGAGTGACCTATGCAAGAAATGTCTTCAGTGTAGCTCCTTAGAAGTCATGGGCTATTCACTATGAGAAACCAGTAGGGTATTGTAACATTCTTTATTCCTTGCATTCACAAGAAATGAAAGCCTCTTCTAAGACAGAATGTTAACAAGGTCACCAGTGAAAACTCTTTGGGGGCTCATTTAACTTCGTGCAAAGAAATTTGCTTTAGAGTATCAAACTGTCTCCATCCTGGCCTTCTCAAAAGTTGTTAGGGACCCTTGAGATGGTTTCAATTCATAGCTGATGCATGCGCAACAGAACAAAACCCTGTCCCATGCGGTGGCATCCTCACAACCATTGCTGCGTGAGAGCCCACTGTGCAGCAAGTGTGTCTGGGCATTCATTGAGCATCTTTCTCAGTTAACTGACCCTCGGTTTTACAATGCATGAAGTCCTTCTCCGGTGACTGCTTCCTGCTCTTCACAAGTCCAAAGTAAGCAGGACAAAGTTTTTCTACCCCCCACTTCTAGGAAGCACTCTGGCTGTGCTTCTTCAAAGACATATTTGCTTATTCTTCTGGCAGTTGACGGAATATTCAGTATTTTCCATCAGCGGCATCACAATTCAAATGCATCAAATCTTCTTTAGTTTAATTTACCCATTTTTGAGCTTGCAATACATACGAGGCAATTGAAAAGACCATGGCTTGATCAGGCCAACCATAGTGCTCAAAGTCTCATCTTTTGCCCCAGGCAATACCTTGTTTGATTTGGTGACTGTTGCCACCATTGATTTCTTACATGTGAATTCCATTAACTAATGGGAAGAAGCGTGTATCCTGTAGTTACTTTTATTCACAGTTTCTAAAGATGAAAGTCTAAAATTCGTCTTAATGAAAATAATACTAACAGCACAATAGCATGGTAGCAGTTCATTAATAGAGAACCGACTTAACCTTTAAAAATCTCTTTTTAGCTCTCTTTCTTTCCTCTATTCCTCCTTCGCTCTCCCCTTTCATTCTTCCCTTCCTTCCCCTCATCTTTCTTCCTTTCTTATCTTAAAGGTTCTGAAAAAGGTTCTTACATCAAGTAGACGATAGCAATCATTCTGCCAGATGAAAATATATTTTCAACCACAAAAGTCAGAAAAGCAGTCTTCCACAGATTAAAAACAAAAACAAACTAGCCCATGCAAGTTTTTGTT